AAGATCCAGCTCCTGTAACCAGTCAGGACACATCTATACCAAGCATCTGAAGACCAACTCCTGCAACATGCCAGGTACTCATTTTTCTTTTGCAGGTACGCAAGTTCTCGCTAAGGAAGCTCTTATGCGATCAACATCCAGATGGCATCTATAAGCCCATCCACCTTCTATCATCTTTTAACATGGCATCTATAAGCCCATCATCCTATCCATCAATCTCCAAATGGCATCTATAAGCCCATTCCACCATCACACTGCTACTATGTGAGCGCAAATTTCTGGGCACTCTAGTGTTCAATCATCTTCCACCTTCGGATTACGAAAGGCACGTCAGCCAATCTGCATCCTCAGGTCTAAGAAAATTGAACAGGGGCAACTGTCGTACCCCAAAATTTTCCCTCCCATATTCTTCAAGAATTGCAAAGTCAAAGGTCCAAACATCTCCCCAAGGGTTGCACAGTTCAAGGGCCTCCTAACAGTCAAAGATTAGGGTTTTGGTTCTGATAAAGAAAATGAAGTTTCCAAGGGTCCAATCAAGTCCCACATGTCTACAAACATGGTCAAGCATCCTCATACAAAGTTTCAAGACTTACAGCACAAAATTGCACAGTCAAAAACCCAAATTGCACTACAGTCAACTGTAGGGGCAAAATGGTCATTTGACAGTCAAAAGTCCAAATTTTTGGTCAACATCTCATTTTGAAGCCACAAACATCATTTGATCAATGCTTGATCATGATTCTCAAAGCTTGGCTCAAAAATCATCAAGATGCAAAAGTTTCCATATTTGGACAGTTGAAAAAGTCAACTGTAAATTGACCAGGGCATAACTTTCACATGGATTATCATAAAAATTTCATCCAAAGCTCATTTTGAAGAGAAAGACATTTCCTACAACTCCTCTTCATACTTCAAGTCCAAGAAATGCTCTCACAAAACGTTATCAATTTCAACATTATAGGTCATTTTCAAAAGTCAACAAAAAGGGACTTTAAGTCAAAGACCATAAATTGAGATTGGTAAATCAAAATGACATGTGACCAAAGGCATTGGTTAGAGGACTCAAAGACCTTTCCAAAATGTCCAAGAACATGAGCAAAGCTTAAAAATTGAGCAAGTTATGCCTTGTGGAAGTTGGGAAATTTTTGGATATTTTGAAAAGTCAATATTGATTCAAATGACCTAAAAAGGCTAATGGGCCTCTTTTTCTTCCACAATTCATCATCCAAGGCATGTGCACGACCATTTGGCCCAAAGGGGAGTTTTTATCATTTTTTATTTATTTATTTGGATTTTTTATTATTAATAATTCATTTAATTAAATAAAATACATGAAAAATACTAAACCTAATCTTTTGAATCTCTTTGTGCATAAAATAAGATCAATATTTCGTGTACAATCAAATATGGAAGGAATTGAAGTGATTGGATATGATTGAAGCCAAAATAGCATGAAAAAATATTTGAAAAGATCTTTGAAAATCAAATCTTGAAAGTCATGAATGCCAAGGTTTTTGGTTGTTTTCTTTGACCTAAATCATTCATACATATATACATATGCCAACCCTATTCAGAACAAGCTCCCAGCTGCGCAAAAAAGGCCAAGAACAAACTTGAATTTTCTCAAAAAAACTCAAATCTGAAAACCAATTTCTAGGACGATTCAAGCCACAACACTGATTCCATCGTGTTCCTGAGGCTTCAAGGAACATATACAGATCAAAACCATAAGCTTTGACACCAAGAAACGTGAGAACGATCTCACCCTGTACAGAAAATATTTGACACTCTTGCATCTCGACTCATGCAGTTTTCATAATTTTTGATGCTTGATTTGTGTTCATTATATGATTCTGATGCTAACTATATAATTTAATTGTGTTTTTGTGCACTACACGCGATTTCGCCATGAACAAGACCTAGGGTTTTCAAAACTGTGAATTAGGGTTTCCCAGTTCAGGAAAAATTGGGACATGAGGCTTGGACCATTAGAACCAGAAGACCATGGCCAATCAATTCCATATCTCGCGCCTAATTTATGAGCCAAGAATCTCTAATCGCTATTTTTTGTATTTGGTCATTTTTTTTGTTTTTTCAGATGAAACACAGGGACGAAGAAGATGACTCAGTGGCACTCAGTGATTGGTCTATTTGAATTTCGCGCTAAATTTCCCATTGACCATTGTGTTTATGTTATATTATTTGTTTCATATTGTATAATAAAAGCGCGTTGAATAGCTCAGTGGTAAGGCGTAAGGCTGGTAATCAACAGGACCTGGGTTCGAGCCCCAGGTCCCCACCCTTTCCAATATTATTTTTTCAATTGACATTCTGTGCAAGTTCAACATTAAGGAACACCATACACCCCTTGATCCAGATTGCCACGCGCCCACAGAGATTGATCCATTGGCTCTGATCAGAGGAGCACCATGATCGTTGGTCAACACACATACACGCTGGCATAGAAGTCAACGAGGCCAGAACTTATTGGGCCTAAAAATGCTGATATACACCTCCAAATTAGGAGCAGAACCCCCTAGGTTTGCATTATTCCTTTTCATTATTTTGGTATTATTTTCAATTATTGTCTTTATTTTAATTAATTCTTTAATTTAATTATTTTCATAAAAAATATAAAAAACAATATAAAATCAGAAAAAGACAAAAAAATAGTATTTTTGTTTAATATTTCAATATTTTTTAAATAAAACCTTTGTTAATTAATTAGTTTTAATCTAGGGTTAAATTTTAATATTTTTCTTAATCAATTTAAAACTTGGTAGAATTAGGGTTTGTAATAATTTTTATCCTTTTTTCTTTTCTTTCATAATAATTAATTATTAAAATATTATTTATTTTTATAAATCAAAATTCCATGTAATTAATTAGGTTAATTTAGGTTTAACTTTAATATTTTGTCTTAATAAATAAAAGCTATAGAATTAGGCTTAATTTAATTTTAATTTCATTTAATCTTTTTCATTAAAACTCATAAAATACAAAACCCAAAAAATAATTTCTTTTTCTTTAATTTAATTAATTTAGCGATTTAATTTAATTCCATTAAAAAGGGTCCAATGCCCTCGATTCTAATTTTAATTTAATTCGCGTATTTATTTCTTTTTCTTTTAATTATTTATGTAATTCTCCCAAAGCCGTGTAAACTTAATTTCTCGCACTTTATTTTACTTCTTTATTTTCTGTCAAATCGGGTCCTGGATTAAATTTGGCGATGTGGACCCGCGCCTTTGTAATAGTTTAGAACTTTTAATTTTCCGCATCTTTTTAACTGTTAAATAAATGCATGCAAGAATGAATGATTGAATAAAAACAAACGCATAGATCACTTTGACATGACAAGATAAAATAACTGAACATGACACACAAATCACACACCACCCCTAGGGTACGCCTCACTGTTGCCTTGCCTCGAAAGGTGATCGTCGAGTAGAGGATGTCTTAGTAAGTCCTCATGATCCGGGAACCTGGCATGAGGGTAGCTTCTAAGGTGTCTTCCCATTGCTCTGGTGATCACCATGTCCCGAACCTCGAATTGACCCGAACACCTCCAACGGTGGTGCTACCTACCTCTCAATGGTGGGATGGCACTACTTTAAAGGACATTTACACAGACGAATTCCTTAGGGTAGGTAGGTTCTCGTAGATACTGTAGCGATAAAAAATGTAGCGGGGTAAATCGGAGATCGAATTATTGATTAATTCGTCTCACAAAAGCAAGAGTCGCCACCGCGCTTTATTGTTTCCAAAGGAAAAGGGAAAAGAGCGAAATAAAACCCTAAATATGCAATGTAAAAAATACTGAAAATACAAAGCGTTTTTGAAAAGAGATCTTATGGTTCGGGGGTTGGTTATACAACGGGAAGGTATTAGCACCCAATGCATCTATAGTACTCTATAGGAACCTTTTGAAATATCTGTTTTGTTTAAAATTGATTTGTTTGATCGAAAATAAATTGTTTTGGCCGAAAAGGGATACGGACGGGTTTTTGAAGATACGACAACCTAACGTTGAAGTTTTGACTTAAAAGGTGTGAGTTTCGGAGAAATCGGATATTTGGAAAAATCATCCTAAGTTTCAATGAAATGAGGGTACTCGCTCGATCGTTTTTGAGGACATGAAGTCAACAAAATTAGACAATTCCCTTTGGATTGGCACAAACAGAATAATCAAATACGATGAAATAATTGACAGAAAATTATGCGATAAATGATATATAACAAATTAAATGTGGACATGCATTTTTAATGATTTTTGGTTTAATATGCGAAAAGAAAAAAGTTCAATTGATTTTCATTTTTTTACGCATTTTTGATGATAAAAGGTAATGAGAATTAATAGAAATGTTTTTTAGATTTTATATGTTTCTATTGTTTTATGTTTTTTTTTTTTTAATATAAATAAAAAGTATTACTTTTAAGAATTCTTTGAATAAAATTAAAACTTAATGCTATTAACCTAAGTCTGATTAAAATAATAATACTAAGATTATTAAATTAAATCCTAAGAGTTTACATTAATAAAATTAGTCAAATATAAAAAAAATGTTTTAAGTTACATCTCTTATTTTGATTTACTAAATTAAAAATTAAACTAATAAGATTTGGACAAAATATTAAACATTATTTATTTAAAATTATATGCTATTTCTAAGAAATTAATTAGTCTAGATTAATTAAGAAAAAGAAAGGAATTTAACTAACAGTAAATAAAAGAGGGGATGAATATCAAATGAAAAGGGCTTAAGTAAAACAAGAAAATGGGCTTAGGCAAAAGGCTGAGCTGGGTTGAGGAAAGATGGAGCGGGTCGTGGAAGACCCGGACCCAGGAAGAAGAGCAACAATTGCTGTAAGAAAGAAAAACCTAGGGAGCGCTAAGTGTGCCGCCGCCGCTGGATCCCATGGAACGCTAAGTGTGCCGCCGCCGCTGGACTTGAAAAAAACGATGGATCGTGAGGCATAAATGGTGGAGTTCGCTGTTTATGAAGGAATCGAAGAGAGGCTTGCGCGGAGGGGATTCTGGAAGTCGCGGCGAGAAGTTGAGTACCGAGCCGAGGTGAGCCGGTTGATGGATTTGATTGTTCTTTTGATAAATGATTTTTTTAGAGGAAGAATTTGTAAATCAAGAATGGTTAGCAATTTGAGAGGTGAGTTCTTGTGTCCTCTTATAAGTTTTTTTATGAATTTTCTGTGTATTGAGATGATTTTCTAGATTTTTTGAAACATTATTGTGAGTGTCGAAACAGGTTGACGAAGATGGTTACTAAGCGAGGGATGTGTGGAAGAGATGGAGCGGTTCGAGAGAGAGAGGATTGGAGAATGGCTCGGTCGAGTGTTGAGGTGGGGCGGTGCTCGCGGTCTGAGTTGTAGTGAACGTCGTTGCTGGAAACGATTGGAGCAGTGGAATTTGGATAAGACAACGATTGGGTCTTGTGAGGTTACCGGTAAGCTTCAATTCTTTTCTCTTCAAAGTTGATGCGATTTGGAACCTCTTCTACTGTACTCGCGCTTGTTCTCACTATACATCCGTACTGCTTCAGAGTTTGCAGGAGAATTTGGCTTGGGATCACAAAGCAATGACTGGATAGAAGTGAGAATTGCAGCTACATCATATAGGACTCCACCGATTTGCAATATATCCAGGCAAATGCTTCCATCAGCATAAATGTTGGATGAAACATTCGGGAGACAAACTGTACAATGGGTGGCTTGTTGGACATAAACAAGGATGATGAATCGTTGATGGCGATGAAGGTTCTGAAGACTGAAGCAAACAGAGCGATCTAAAATTATTTACAATTCTTCTGCAGAATGAAGAAAGAATCAATGCAAGGTAATTTTGTTATGGTATTTTTCTGATTTTTCACTGTTTTAGAAGATGTGATATGAGACTTAGTGGCTATATAATGAGTTTTCTTGGTGTTGTATTTTATTATTCAAGGTTGATAGAAAAGATCAAAAAAAAAACACAAAGTTATTTTTTTGGAAGATAAAGGATAAAAGAGGAAGAGATGGATAGGTCCTGGAAATGGTTGAGTTGTACGGATGACTTTGTTTTGTTCTTTTCATGATTCTGAAAAAAAGAAAATAAACCTCTGTACCAATTGTTAGCATTCAGTATTATGTTGTGTTGTACCCTTTAATGAAATTAGTTAATGGTTTTGACAGGAGGAGCTTGTGAAAGTTAGATCACAGTATGTTTATCTGGATTAGGATGGAAATGTTGGTTTTTGGTTGAATTTAGGATGGTGATGATAATGGTTTGCGTTAAGAAAGGTTTGTGAATTTCTATATTACCTCAAATTGGCTTTAAATTAATAGTGTGTTATGATTGTGCCGGTTTTGCAATATTATGAATCTTGAATTTTATCAATCGAGTTATTGTCGGTGTATAACCGGGATTAAATATGTTGATGATTCGCAATAATATTAAATGGCCATTTACATGATTTCAGGAAATTAAAGAGAGTATTAAGTGAGACAAAGGCAACACAAAGATATAAAGGATTATGCGAAAAACTGAAGAAAAACTCACATGGTCGGAGCTAGTCCGACGGTACGATCCGGCGAAGTCAGGTCAGCTCCGAAGGTTCTTCGCTCTTTGCTTCCTGCTACTAATTCCTCTCTTCTTCTCCGTAAAAAATTGGTGGGAATATTGAATAATTGATTTTTGGTGGTTTATGATTATACTGCTTTGGCTATGGTTTTGACACCGTATGCTTGAAAAATGGTTCTAATGCAGTATGCGATTTTTGCCTTGTGTTACGGTTTTGAATAGTTTTGATACAGGTTATGTTTGTGTGATTTGCAATATGTTATGCAAGATGGTTTAGCAGTAATGTCTTGTGTGGAAATGGAATATGGTTTGTAATGGACTATGCAGGTTTTAGAATATGCAGTAGCTATGTTTTTTTGTAGTTTTTGTAGTGATGGTCTGGGAATGGTTTGCAGCGATACGGTATATAGCAGTATGCAGGTTAAGCTTGCAAAAATGGACTATGTTCCTATCTCTCTTGGTAGTCTTGTAGCATGCAGGTTATCTTCTCATGCAGTATGCAATGATGGTTATGGTGTGAAAAAATGGAATATGGTGTTTGCTTGGCTTAGTTTTGCAGTAATGTGTTGGTGGTGTTACTATGCCAGTTCACTTCCTTTTTGAAGGGATTGCAAATAGCCGTTGCTTCCCCCCTTTGTGGCTCAGGTTTTGAGTATTTAATTATATTTCCTGATGCTGCATATATGCTGCTACATGTGATTTCATTCCCATTTCATGCTTAGGCCAGAACCTGCAAAATTAAGCCTCTTCTTCTCTCTACCTCAAGTACATACATGATACATAAATGTGATATCTGTACTGCTGTTCTGAAAAACCATACAGGCTGGAATATGATGAAAAAGGAAATAGGTTGCTTGCACACATTGTTTTAAAAACTGCATAGTTCTGAAATTGCACATTGTTTGAAATTGCATATTGTTTGTTTTGAAATTATGTATGCTGTGTACTTATGCAGTTTTGACCAAAAAATGTATTTATGCATATGTGAAATATGCAGTAGGCTTTTGATGCAAATGATTTCGAAAATGCGCTATTTTTAATTATGCATTCATTTAAAAAATCCTCTCTTTTTTGTGAACCGGGAGAAATCCCGTGATTTGCAAAAAAGAGTAACTGATTCCGGCCGTTTGATTTTAATGATGAACATTAAATTTATTTTCTTCATTTTAATTACTTATTCACTTCTGACTTTTCTTTTAATTGTTTTCGCAGGTAAAATTAAATGAGCAAACAAAGAGCATTGGATTGAAGATTAGAATTAGAATTTAGGAAAATAGTTTTATTTTACTTTAAGCATTTATGTAATGGTTATTATAAATACTTTGTACAATAGTATTTAAACAACAATTGTAATAAATAGAATAAAGTGAATAAAAATTCTATTATTTCTCAATTAATTCCTTTTCTTTCCAATTATTTATTTATTGTTTATAATTCCTTAAATTATATAATGATTAAAAATCAAATCCAATCATTTAAATTTAAAATGATAAACAAATAAATAAACATCATTGATCAATTAATAACTTCAATTATTTATTTTATTATTATTTTTAATTCTTCTAAATTATAATAACTTGAAAAATAGAATTTCAGCTATTTAAATTTAGAACAATAAATAATCAAATAAACATTGCTTGATCAATTAATATACTCATTTTCAAATGTTTATTTCATTATTCATAAAACCTTCAAATTATATAATAGCGGAAAACAGGTTCCCATTATTTAAATTTAGGATAATGAATAATTAATAAACATTATTTGACCCATTAATAACCTTTCTCAAATATTCTTTTTATTATTTATAAGTCTTTAAATTACGTAATAATCGAAAATAAATTCCAATTATTTGAATTTAAGATAATAAATAATTAATGAACATTGTTTAAGTCTTGATCAGTTAATAAATTTAGCGTTCAACAAATAAACAGCTTCTGACTCGAAAAAGTTGTGAATTTTTAAACTGTTTTAAAATTTGATAAAAATAGGTCAAAACCCTTGCAATGCGAATAATGCGGATGGAAGACGGTATCTTAGGTCAAAATTTGGGGTACAACAGATACTTGCTCTAATTTCAAAACAAATCAAAAAAATACTTTTCACACCAACACATTTTCAAAAAGCTTTCGAAAGCAATTTTTCAAACACTCTTGAGGACCGATACAGGAGTCGAACTGGAATTTTCAAAGAAACCTTTTAAAAACCCACAGTTGAAAAGCAAACAAACAATTTTGAAAACACAATGAGCAAGTATCTAAGAGCCCATGGATAACCATGGATAGAAAGGGTGCTAACACCTTCCCTTTCTATAACCTACCTCCCGAACCGAGAGCAATCTCTTTAAGGAATTTTTCTGTGCTTTTGTCCTTTCCATTTGGAGAAAATAAAAGACGGTGGCGACTCTTGCTTACCGCGACATTTCGCGAACCAGCGTTAAACAGTCAGTTCCAGATCCACCGATCACAATCAGCTCCAAATTCAGCTCCTGTAACCAGTCAGGACACATCTATACATAGAATCTGAAGACCAGTTCCTGTAACGGGTCAGGTAGTCCTTTTCTTTTGCAGGTACGCAAGTTCTCGCTAAGGAATCTCTTACGCGATCATCTCTCAGCATGGCATCTATAAGCCCATCCACCTTCCATCATCTCTTAGCATGGCATCTGTAAGCCCATCATCCTATCCATCAATCTCCAAATGGCATCTGTAAGCCCATTCCCACCATCACACTGCTACTATGTGAGCGCAAATTTCTGGGCACTCTAGTGTTCAATCATCTTCCACCTTCGGATTACGAAAGGCATGTCAGCCAATCTGCATCCTCAGGTTTAAGAAGATTGAACAGGGGCAACTGTTGTACCCCAAAATTTTCCCTCCCATATTCTTCAAGATTTGCCAAGTCAAAGCTTCAAAATCTCCTAAGGGTTGCACAGTTCAAGGGCCTCCTAACAGTCAAAAACTAGGGTTTTGGTTCTGACAAAGAAAATGAAGTTTCCAAGGGTCCAATCAAGTCCCACATGCCTATAAACATGGTCAAGCATCCTCATACCAAGTTTCAAGACTTACAGCACAAGATTGCACAGTCAAAAACCCTAATTGCACTACAGTCAATTGTAGGGGCAAAATGGTCATTTGACAGTCAAAAGTTCAAATTTTTGGTCAACATCTCATTTTGAAGCCACAAACATCATTTGATCAATGCTTGATCATGATTCTCAAAGCTTGGCTCAAAAAGTCTCAAGATGCAAAAGTTTCCATATTTGGACAGTTGAAAAAGTCAACTGTAACTTGACCAAGGCATAACTTCCACATGGATTATCATAAAAATTCCATCCAAAGCTCATTTTTAAGAGAAAGGCATTTCCTACAACTCCTCTTCACACTTCAAGTCCAAGAAATGCTCTCACAAAAAGTTATCAATTTCAACATTATAGGTCATTTTCAAAAGTCAACAAAAAGGGACTTTAAGTCAAAGTCCATAACTTGAGATTGGTAAATCAAAATGACATGGGACCAAAGTCATTGGTTAGAGGACTCAAAGATCTTTCCAAAATGTCCAAGAACATGAGCAAAGCTTAAAAATTGAGCAAGTTATGCCTTGTGGAAGTTGGGAAATATTTGGATATTTTGAAAAGTCAACATTGCTTCAAAAGTCTTAAAAATGCTAATGGGCCTCTTTTTCTTCCAAAATCCATCATCCAAGGCATATGCACGACCATTTGGCCCAAAGGGAAGTTTTTCATCATTTTTATTTATTTATTTGGATTTTTAATAACTAATAATTCATTTAATTAAAATAAATATGTGGAAAATACTAAACCTAACTTTTTAAATCTTTTTATGCATGGAATAAGCTCAAGATTTCGTGCATAATCAGATTTGGAAAGAATCCATGTGATTGGACATGATTGGAACCAAAATAGCATGAAAAAGATTTGAAAACTTATGCCATAAAAATCAAATATCTCTTCATCAATTCATGGATTTTTTGATCAATTTCTCAACCCTAATCACTCACACATATATACATATGCTAACCCTCGTGCCCATAACCTCCCAGCTGCGCCATACCTCCATAGCAAAACTTGCAATTTTCTCAAAAAAGTCCAATACTGAAAACTAAGTTCTAGGGCGATTCAAGCCGAAATACCTGTTCCATTGGCTTGCTGAGACTTCAAGGAAGGAGACTGAATCAATATCATAGCCTGAAGCCTTGAGAATTGGTAGTTATAAGTCAAACTGTTTTCACTTTTATGCATATTCGTGTTTTAATATTCAAGCATATTCATTGCATTTTTCTTATGGATTCTTACTAATTGGTTGCTTCTGAAACTAACTGCATACTTTAATTAAGTTTTCGTGCCAAAATAGAAGATTCACCATTGATACAGGCTAGGGTTCTTCAAGTTTTAATTTGGGCGTTTCTAAATGCTGTAAAATTGGAACATCACAGTACCATGACTGAACTCAGCGTGCTTGGACGATCTGAATAGATACCTCGCGCCTAATTTATATAGCCACATGGCATATTCGCTATTCTTGGATAAAGCATATTTTGGGGGGGTTTAAAACCCCCGCTAACCTTTTCATGTTTCAGGAAATAAACAAAACGAAGAAGAAGATGATGAAGTGTCCAGCAACAATTTGTTGATTTGAAAATTCGCGCTAAAAATTCCACTAACGTTTGTTTTCTTTCATATTAATTGTTGATTGTATAATAAATAAAGTGTGTGTGTGGTACAGTTGGTCCAGGCGTGTATTGGTGATCTCCAGGACCTGGGTTCGATCCCAGGTCCCCCATCCCTTTTTATATTATTTTTATAAACATGCTTCTGTGCAGTTTCGTTACAAGGGAACACCATACATCCCTCAAATCCAGCTTGCACACGTGCAATGGTCTCAGTCCAAAGGTCCAGATTTGCTAAATACCATAGGCGCTAGTCAAAGAAGTTACACGCTAGCACAAAAGTCAAACGAGGCCAAGGCTTAATGAGCCTGAAATACTGGACTCTACCTCCCAATTTGGGGACAGAACCCCCTAGGGTTTGCATCTTTTATTCTTTTCTTATATTTTTCTTTTCTTTGTTTTAATTAATTTCTTTTGATTCTTTGATTTAATATTTTCATAAAAACAATATAAAAATCAGAAAAAGACAAAAATAAATATTTTTATTTAATGTTATATTTTGTAAATAAATCTCATTAATTTAATTTAGCTTTTTTTAAATCTAGGATTAATCTTAATATTTTTTCAATAAAAACCTAAAAATTGGTAGAATTAGGGTTCCAAATAATTTTCCATTCTTTTCTTTTTTTTTCTCACCATAATTACTTATTAAATATTATTTATTTTTATAAATCAAATTGCATGTAAATAAATTAGATTAGTCTTAGGTTTAATTTTAACATGTTTTCTTAATAAATAAATAAAAAACAATTAGAATTAGGGCTAATATTTTAATTTCATTTAATCTTTCTCATAAAAATTCATAAATCCAAAAAATACCAAAATAATTTCTTTTTTTTTATTTTAATCTAATTAATTTAGTCATTTAATTTAATTTCATTAAGAAGGGTCCAACGCCCTCGTTTCCAATTTTA